TCAATCTGAAACATAAATATGTAATTTTTTGGCAGCAACTTCTCAAACTACAGAAACAGGTTTTCAATGCCAGGAAACACAGAAGGTATATTTTACAGGTATGAGAAACTCGCAAAAACAGCTTTATGTGAAGGAATACAGTACTTGTGTATGGTTACATTTACATGTGTGTAATACTTGTGTCAAAAAAAGAGGATTTTTTTATTTTATCATCAAGGTTAGAATTTACTATCCTTCTAATTTTAAGTATTTACACAAAGCCTTTGCCATTGCTGACCCCAGCAGTTTGCAGGGTGGTGAATCTGAGAGTCTGTGGCTTGATTTCTCATGGGCACTCTGAACTTTTATCTTATTGTCTTGTGCTCATGACAAAACAAGAAAAAAACATTTTAGGCATTTCTATAGATACAATTAAGTTTAGTTGAAATACCATTGCAATGGTCTTGATGGGCTGTCTCTCTCTTTTTTTTTGGTTTATTTTATCTTCAATGATACATCTAATTTCTTGAATACTTTGTAGTTGGAACATTGGTCCTGCACACATCATCAGCTATTCTACAGAAGTCTACTTCTGGTTGCAGTATGGAATTGAACAAATCGTTCAGCAGTATAACTGGCTTATCAGAGACCTTGAGGTAAAGAAATATTCCCTTCATTATTTGTTTCTTCGTAGCCTTCTCTTGTCTCTCCACCTCATCAGTTGTACCCTTTTTTTCCTTCTTTTTCTCCTTTTTTCTTTATTCATTCATTACTTCCTCTTTCCTCCACTTCTCCCAAACTCTTTTTCTCTTGTGTCATCATTTGTTCCTTCAAAGGATGGGTGATGTTCATTTTTTGCCCAAGATTTTTCAGCATCCAGCTATAAAAACACCACCCGCCAAGGGTTAAAATTCATGGCAGATTGGGACAGTCATTTTAGTTCTTTGCCTAATTTAAATTGCCAGCATTCCAGTAATGAATAGCTGGTGTTTCTGAAGAACATTGATAATGCTATCCATTATTTGTTGGGGGTCATAACCATTGTTCCCTATTAATAGTATTAATACTATTATTATTATTATTATTATAGTGTTACATTTTAATAGAGTTAAATATTATTATTATTAATAATAGTGTTACATGATAATTATTATCACTAGTATAATCTACATTTGTAACAGCTAAGGCCTTTGATCTTATTTGGTAGTTTTTTATTTTGTTTTGCTTTTTTTTTGTATTGTGTGATTAAAACTGTATCAGAGCAAGCCTCACATGTAATGTGTATTTTGTTGCAGGAGGCAACTCTTCCTGACAACCGCAGTAAACGTCCCTGGATCATCACCATGACACACAAACCAATGTACTGCAGTAACAATAATCCTAATGATTGCACAAAAACTAACAGCATGGTAAGGTTACTGATTATCCTTAAACCAGTCACTTTTTCTTTCTCTTGCACACTTAGAGATATGGGCATGGGAGCTGGCTTTTTTTTGTTTGCCATTCCTTTGAATACTCGATTGCTTACAGTGTGTATGTTTATTTAAGTAGGGAAAAGGGGGCCTTAGTTGGTTATTGTAATACTTTAAGCCCTTTTGATCTTTTTATTGGTTCACAAAGTTCGTCAACACAACATTTAAGGCTGTTTCTGATTCTAAAGTGGTAGAGCCAATTCCTCAATCTCAAAACAACAGCCTTGGTCAAAGAAAATATTTGTGGTTGCCCTTTAAGGCAGCTTAGATATCAGAAGCATTCTTGGTGATTGCATGTACTGTATTAACACATCCTCTCCGTTTTTTTTTTAGATTCGCACTGGAATAACCTCCAAGCATTTGTGGCCTTTGGAAGACTTGTTTTACAAATATGGTACGAAAACATTATTATTGGAAACAAGATTGATCTTTGATTGGAACTCTCATTGTAATTATCTTTTTGTGACAAAATTAATCATGATAACACAAAGAGGAAAAAAATTTGCACCTGGGGTAAATTGTGCTAAGCTGTGTTCAAACAAAATAATATATTTAAGTATTTATTCATGCAGAATTTCTATCTCCATTCTAGGTGTGGATTTGATGTTGGAAGCCCATGAGCACTCCTATGAACGTTTGTGGCCCATTTACAACATGCAGGTAAGGTGGTGAACAGTATAGCCTGCTGAAAGTTTGCAGTGAATAAAAGGAATTGTGATAACGATGGGGAAGTGAACGGGAAAGGGAGATATGGGTCAGCTCATGATCCAAATCAAACCTTCTTTGTCTTTTCATTCTTGTGCTACCATTGCACTGAGTACTGTTGCATTTGTTTTGTTAACCCTTTAACTCCCAAGATCTGATTGTCAATTCTCCTCTGTAGCTGCCACACATTTCCTTTTAAATTAGGTATGAGAACTTGGTGCTAGATCAAGATAGCAGCTTCTACCTGATAAGTTTGTTGTGTTTATGTTTAAGGTTATGTCTCTTGAACACTCTTACTTTATATTTCCCTTTCCAGGTTTGTAATGGATCTCGTGAGGAGCCATACACCAACCCTTGTGCCCCAGTTCATATAATCACTGGTTCAGCGGTATGTTTGCTATCAACACTAGTTCTCTGTTTTACATTAGCAAATTACAGTTGCCCAATATGATAGACAAACAAGGAAAGGTTAGGGTCTCTCAAGGATTATCGGAATGCAAACACCTGACCTGTTACCTTGAAGTTGAATTTGAAGTTTATTAATTCAAAAATACATGGCAGTTCAAAAACTGAATTGCTTATTTACTTAACAAAAATTAATTTTACAAATCTAATCATTAACTAATCTATCTTAATTAAAAAGCTAACAGGAGATAAGCTGCTAAAAAAGTTATCATAATACAAGCTGCAAAATTTGAAAACCCTGAACTATAAATTAGTTGCTTTGAGACATGAAGAGATAATTTGTAAAACAGTCAGTTTTAAAATGTGGCGTGCTAAAAGGGCAATCATGTCTGAACGAATGATAAGTTTCATGCAGTGCAGGTAATAACTTGTAAAGGCAGTGATTGCATGGTGTTGTTTACACTTGTTCCTTGAAGTTCATAATCTTCAGGGGTTCTTCAAGCCCTCTACCTCCAAACATAAGCCCACTTACTCTCTTTACTGCTCTCTATACATTTCCTGTGGAACTAGTGAGGAGTTTGTTTAACAGTCAAGAGCCTCTTTAGGTGGCAATCATTTCTCTCACTCTCATGACCATAGTACGCTATTTAGCAGTAACACTGTAAGGAGAAATTAGATCTTTGTCAGTGTTCTGAGGGCTTAAAGGGTTGAGGGGACAGTTAAAATGCCCCTACCTTCCAGAAGTCCTTATTCCTCACATCTATAGATCAAACTGGCTTGTCTCCCAAATGTGAAGATTTGCACCATTGTTATGTTTCACTGTGTTTTTCCTGCTAATTTACAATAGAATGGTATTTCTTACAGGGATGTGTTTCGAGGCATGACCCTTTCAAGAAGGATAAGCCATTTTGGACAGCTTTCCGTACTCTGAATTATGGTTTCACTCAGATGACAATCCATAATAAGACTCACATAGGCATACAGCAAGTGGATGTTGACCTGGTAAGTCCAGTGGATAGGATAAACTTTAGGGCATATGCACCTCTTAAGAGCAAGTTTGGAAGGAGAAAATTTGGTCAATGAATGTGAGAACTCCTCATTTGATGGTCAGGTGACATCCAGTTAATTTATTTTTTAATTTCTGCTGCACCCTTTTTTCCTCTTCAGTAATGTTGCTTAATTTCGTAATTTCTTTTCTGGAAATCAGAGGCAAATTCTTGCAAAACGGCTTATATAACTACTGGTATCCTGTGGTGAAAGTTAAACTGATTTCTGCATTTGTTGTTATTGTAATCAGGGTGGGGAAGTTGTTGACAAAATAATGCTGATAAAGGATGTTCATGGACCAGAAGCTTGGGTTAGAAAGAATGTGGAGAATTGAAAGCTGAGGAGAATGATGAAATCTGGACAACAGCTTGTTGGAAATTTACTCTTCCAGTAACTTGTCACTGTTGGTATATAACTAATCTTTGCAGAGAAGCTGAGCTATGGTCTCTCCTTTTGTAATTACTTTTTTTCACAATAATTTTGCAATATAAAGAGGGTACAGGGCACGTGTTTACTTAAATAAACAACAATTCACTGTTGTTTATTAGAACAGAATGCAAAAGTAGCTTGGACAACTAATGAGGAACTGATCAACTGATGAATACACAATTCTTCCAATAGCTACTGACCTATATCCTTGCAATAAAGTGTTATGCCTTTATTACAAGCAAATTGTAAATGAATCAGAGTACAGGGGATAACTTGGTCTGCAGTGCAGGCATCTTGTTGGGGCAAGTTCATGTTCAGAAGCCCGTCATCATTAATTCAACTGCTGTAAAAATTTAAGATGGCAGATATAATTTTCATCAAGATAGTAACGAGCACTTGCCCACCTGTTCTGTATGCTAAGGTTAAGGTTCATGGGAAACTGTGGTGCTGATAAATTGGTTTTATCAACTCAGTAGATGATGAAAATTGGCCACCTGGGGGAGTTCCTAAAGCTATGTGTCCAAGTGATACCCTTCCTGTAGGTATCTGCATTGTTTATTGGTTCCTGAATTGATTAAATTATTTAATATGTAGGATTGAGTACGAGAGTGTCACTGAAAACAGTGACAGTGCACAAGGGGCAACAATGTAACTTTATCATCTTACTTTAGTGGTTAGTAGAGTTCAGTGAAGTGTTTGAATTTACTTTGAAGTGTGAGATTGTTGACAAATTTTCTTCTGGTTTTTATTTTGGGCCGGATTGAAGATGTTGGTATCTATCAATCCAGTTATATGTAGTTTCTTTAGTCTTTGTGATAGAATTAGGAAAGGGAAGCAGACTTGGAGTCCACTTTTGCTATATGCTGTTACAGTACAAGTCGCAAGTAATCATTTTTTTTAATAACATGTAAAGAGGTGTGGAAAAACAACATTTTACTGTAATTGTATATTCATGCACGGTGTGTGATGCCTAATCCTTTAACCCCATAGAGAGACCAGCATCTAATTTCTCCTTACATTATCATCCTAGAAGCAAACATTAAGATCATGAGAATTTAGGCTAAAAATATTTTGATTGTTGATCAAAATTTCACTGTCAGTACCACAGGAAATGTATAGAATATAGATGGAGATACTAGTGCAGAAAGGGTTAATGGGGGCATGCTTGTTTTATATCTGACTCATTAATCTTATCACAGTCCCATTGAAAATACGACTAGTCTTGATAGTAGTTTCTGTTCATTGTCTGTGGTTAGAAGGATTTCTTTAGTGTCCACATTCCAAATTTAATGATCTTTATAATATATAGGTATAGATGTTGTGTCAAGAAAACTGAGCAACCTTGAACTTTCTTGTGAAATTGAGGAATTTAAGAAAACAAATTATCACTTTTAATGAATAATCAATTAATATATTATTTTGTACTTTGAATTAATAAAACTTTTTTCCTGTTCATGTTACTTGTGGATAAGTTTTTTGAGTTCTTCCCTTCTGTTCATTCAGACCTCATTTCTTGTTTGAGAACTGGTTTGTTTAACTGTATACTTCACACATTATTCAGAGCTACTTAAAATTATTAAGAAATTAAGGAAGCCTGAATCGCATGTGCAATGAAGTGTCAAATTTATATGTTAATGCCAATAGCTTTTTGCAAAAGGTTTACCCTTTAAACTCTGGCAAAACATCTCCATGAACTCTAACTGAAGAAACGCTGGTGCATCGTTTCCATTGATTTGTCACCTGTGATATCCACCAACTTGTTTGCTGCAGAAGATGCATAATTCTTGTTAGTTTGATACCTAAAATGTGGCCTTTCAGCATCGAGTGCTGCCAGGATCACTTGGGCAATCTCATCTGGAGTTTGAACCATGGTAGAGAAAGCACCTCGCATTTTTTTAATGCAGTTATTGAGAAGTTGTTTTGTTTCATCATCTACTTCCTCAGGGTGAGTGTCACTTTCAGTCATTTGAGCATTGGCTACAAAAGATGTCGATACTGGCCCTGGTTCAATCACAGAACATCTGTCGGTATAAAGAGCAAACATTACAAAAATTAACTTGATTACTTTGAGTGCTGAATAGTTACGGTAAGTCTGGGGTAGGGATGTTTTT